GAAAACACATCGATTCAAAAGGAATTTTTCTAATATTTCATCACAAAAATGGGAAATAGCCTGAAAATTGAACACTTCACAGTGAATTGTTGCAGTTTCTTCACTTCGTACAGAAGGGAAAAAATCCAACATTTGAATTGTAAACAAAGAAAGTTGTGAAGTACCTGCTGCATGCGTTCACTAAGTTTCGTCCATACTTCACTAGTATTCCACAATCGACGGCGTTTCTCGACGTCTTCTACAGCTTCACACCACGGTTGTTCGTTACGTTCCCGGCTTAAAGAGCATAATATTGCACAAAAAAGATGCGAAGATGTAGGTTCGAGCCCGAGCGAATTGCATATGGATATGGTCTCGCCTCTGCCCACCTCAGAGTTGAAACTTGCATGTCAGATATGAAGAGCACGGATGGGTAGTGTGGCAGTAAGCAAGTGGGTGTCTGAAGGATAAAAGAAAAAGCATTCGATGCAGGCAGGAGGGATGGAGGTCTTGGTTGGCTAGTAATTCGATCCGAAAATTATTCTATGGACCGTGCGCACGGTAAGTGGCGCCACTTGCACTAAAGCACCTTCACACGAGTAGGTTTTTGCGGAGGTCCCTCCATTGAGTTTCGTTGTAGCGCGTGGTCAGCGCAGCGATAATCAAATTCGCTATGATGTCATAGATTCGTGAGGGACTGAGAGAATATCTAGAAGCTTCGCGTCAACAATTCAATATCTACGAGAAAAAGCGCGCGCTCACTCTTCTTCGCAGTGAAATCGTACACTAAAAACACTGAAAAGCTGGCATATGTCCAAGCCGGAATCAGTGCTTTTCAATTTGAAGCGTTAATCAGACATGCAAGTATAGCCCACCGTCACTATTTGAAGATCTGGTCAAATTATGCGTGGCTTTTACTTCGATTTCAACCGGAGATACCAAAAACCTTACTCAATAAAAACTCCATTTACGCCTTCCATGGCTGGATCGGCTAAAGCAAACAACACCGGCCGTACAGCTTTCTCCACTCGCCGTTCGCCCATACCAAAGCTGAACAAGAGCTGAACAAGAGCTTAATATGTATGAGCAAAATTACATCTTTGAGTCGCCTAACCTGACTATTTTGAGCAGCCATCGACTGAGGAAGAATGTTTGCCCATCCATCTGAGAAGAGAGATGAGATTTCGTCCTTCCTGGATCTGCGACTGTGACTGATACATTGGTATCTGAAAAACTACTCTAGAATCATGCTGTAAACGTTAGACACCTTTCTCAAAATAATCGAGCCTTTCAGTCTTTCTGCTAGCTCTCGAGCGAACATAGCAGCAGCGAGTTTGCTTTGCTTGTACACTTCATAGCCATCGTATTTCTTTCTATTGGCAGCATTCAAATCTTCAAAGTCTAGTTCACACCTAAACAACTTTAATTCGTTTTTTAACGGAAGCAGCAGAGTTCAACGTAGGAGGGTCGCACTTTCTTCCGATGATGTTCGTGTTCAAGAATACTATTCTGACTGGGTGATCCTGTGCAAGCAATTTGTCCAAAAGTAGGGCAGTCATCAAAAACGATCCCAGATGGTTAGTGGCAACGTCTCTCGATACCGCTCCAAACTGCTGGGTCGGAATAGTACGAGAATCAACAACCAAACAAAAGAAAAGATCATTCGTGCGACAAATAAACGGAAAACCATTGCCCCGTAGACAAAACAGGAATGAACAATATCTTCTCTTCCGCTTGGAGTTTTTTGTAACCGGATTCTTCGAGAAATAATAATATCTCAGATAAAATGATAAAATCGCAATAGGAATGGGGAAAGTAGAAAGAGTCAGGACGTAAACCCACATATGTTGTGGAGAGCTAAGCTGGAACCTCGTATCAGCACGAAGCTTCAAAAAGATAGATTTAAATATTGGAAGTGCACCGAAATCAACACCACAGAGTTTTTTAATGTCTTACCTTGTTAACCTTCCTCTCAGGATCCATCATTGCTGCGTTGTGCACAAGCCCATCAATTCTATCTAATTCGAACTTGCCTAAAAACAGGGGCTTCGAGCCTGCTTGTATTGTCGTCGAGATGCAAAAATAAGTTTCAAATAGAAAAAACCTTTGCTTAATTTTTGAACAAAGGCCCTTATATTGTCGAAGTCTTCTAAATCACACTGTCGACAGTAAACCTGCTTATTTCGCGTATTCAAAACGATATATCTCTTCTAACTTGGACGCATTTTTCACGATTCCTGAACAGATTATTATAGTAGTCGAATCGAATTCAAGATTCTGCTCGACTGACCTACATGCCATAATGACTCGGGCATTGCGCTTAGCGAGTTCTTCAACGGTTGCCTGAATTAGCCCACGAAATTAGCACAAACCATCAGCACCTCCCAGTGTGGGAGAAAAGAACTGTTGCAAGACTTCTGTCAACCAAAGGGTGAGAGTGCGAATGGAAAGGCATACACTTATATTCTAAGACTAAGCCTTTTGAAGGAAAATGAAGCAAAGTGGAGATGCTGTGCATTTGTGAGAGCTCCCAAACAGCACTACAAATGCTAATCTGCCTAGGATCACGGTTGACAGAAATCCGGAGAACGAAAAAAACCATGTCGCACTTGTCCTATTCCTGACGTTGCTCCAGTAACAATGTAGGTCTTTCCTTCCAGATTTTCATTCAAATCGTATTTAGTACCAGATTGCGTAGCACTTAAAAAAAGAACCAATGAGTTTAATGGTCCGGTAACTACGATTGGTGCACTAGTACTTATGTAAGAGAACACTGAACCCACTCCCAAATGTGGTATAATCCATACGCAAGCCCGAAACCAGAGAAACCGAGCGACCACGGAGACGTGAGACCTTTGATGAGGCGACGAGCTGCCATCAGCAGTAATATTTAATAAAGGGCAGCTAGACTGAAGAAATTAGCTGATAATAATTGCTTCCACACATTAATGGAGATATGAATCAAAAAGGCATAATCTTTACACATACAAAGTACAAGCAATGAAAAACAATTTTATCTCAACGAATCCACATAATAAATATAAACAGAACAATTAAAAACAGCTACTTCATTAGCTGCGACTCCCTTTGCGAGAGGAATATCACTGTGAAAACCCAAATCAGAAAGCAATACAAAACGGTCCGCCTTACTCATCCAATGTCAAAACCCAGCCAGCTATCATAGAAATCTTTCCTCCAGAATAATAACGACACAGAAGAAACAATGGCATAATAAGCATATCTAGACAAGCTTTTTGGCTTCAAAGAAGCCTTTCAAATGACGCATCTGCCATGCACCAGTGAGAACAAGCACCAACGTTTGTCCAACTGACCACCACAAAACCCTTTGATTCGTCGACTCTGACGTTTGACGGAAACGCTCCTCTCTAAAAATAAGAAAAACGAATGAAACAGAAGAAAAGGTCAATCAAATTGAGAGGTAACCAGGTGCCAAACTAGGCCGGGATATGCTCGCTTCCCGAACACTAGGGGCGCGCAATGTGACTGTTAAGACGCTGACTCCTTTAGTTTTTTGAGCAGATTTGGATTAACTTATCTTATTGTTATCATGTTTATCTTATTATCTTTTCACTTTCGGCCCCTAACACTAGCCTGGGTGGGAGGGGAACTTCGGGCAAAATTGAAATAGCTTATGCACCCTAGAATCCCTCCAACCACTAAGTCTTAGCCCTACCAATCTCGTTCATCTCGTGACGTCATTACCTACATGCGCATCCACAGTATTCAACAAGCATACCCCGTAGGACCAGTTCTCCATAGCTAATCACATTCCAAACGAAAAACGAGGTGATGCACTTAAGACGAATTAATTACCTGTATCGTTGGTAATTCTGTTCCTTTGTGATCTGGTCAACCTGGTCTAGGAGTTGACGAATGCGAAGTTGTAATTCGTTCAGTTTATCTTTCGTTGCAATCTTCAAAGTGAAGTTATGAATGCAAAACGGTAATAATTCACTTACTAGTCTTAAAGGTACCAACCTGCTCGTAATCCTGGGCGTGTTCACCTGCTTGGATATCAAGGTGTACCCTGAGCTGAGCTCCACTGAACCATGCAGTACTGTTAGAATATAAGCAAATCACATGCTCTCCCGGAAGGTGAGATGTGAATGTGAATTTCCCTTCTGATGTGTACAACTTAGACAGAATAACCTGAAAAAAAATTGACGTCAATTTTAGAAGATGGAAGGAAATTGCCATATCTACCTTATCCTCGGGATCTTTCACTTCCACATGCATTCCGATATTTGGATAGTCTCCATAGCCCTTCGTATTTGGATCGTATAACTGGACTTTGTAATTGCCAGTTACCTGAACAAGAAACATACGAGGAAAGATCACAAAAGAGTAACAGCACTGTGATGAACCAACAAATTACCTGCGTGTGACTTCACACCAAATCCATCAGACTTTTAAAATTTAAAAAAAAAAACGAACCATTGTTTCATCTGGGATTTCCTCGATAAAGCATTTCTTCTCCGTTTCAGCGATGTGAAAATATAATGCATGGCAGTATGTCAACACAGACACCAGAAGTAACAGAGGCGAATACATTCCCCTTCTGACCTTCTAATAATCATTGGATATAAAGCTGAATTGATTATAAAGAAATGATAAATACTCCTGGCACTTTACCATGATTGACTGCCACACATTTAACATTGAACATTTACCCAGTTTAAACTGACATGGCAAGATTTAATTTACGGCAAGAATAAGTAGGACTAGAACAGTAGTGGACAAGATCGAAGAACATGGCAACAGTTAAAAGCTTAAGTACTCTGAGATAAGTAAAGCAAATGCAATACATGATGTGTAACAAATCGGGATACAAATGAAAAAAAAACTAAAGCTAAATTAGTAGGGAGGAGCGGAAGGCAATTTGTAGCACTATTAGTTCAGTTGAAAAAGGCACATGAAAGGCAGTAAAGGCCATGGAAATGGCAAATTAAAACTAAAATGAACAAAATTAACAATGCTGCGTTAGGAGTAAATGTTTCTAAGACTAAGCGTATGGAGAAGTGAGTGTGCTTACCTTCGTGATTAAACATGCTAATAATGGTGAAAAAGAGTATGTAATTCATTAAGTAAACAAAACAAAATTTCAAAGAAAAAGTTCACACAAGCGTGAGGAAAATAATCAAAAACTACTCAAAAAAGTGCGAGGTCATGAGGGAACTACAAAAAAAAGCAAATAAGCTCGAAATGAGAATTGAAAACTTATCCACTAAGACTGCCAAATGCAGCAGTTTTTTCGAAGACCCATCGTTGACTACCATCAAGCGCATCACACACTGCCGCCGACAACCGAAGTTCTTCACCTTGACTAATCACGGCAAGGCAGCGTCCGCCTTGAGTTAGCCAACCCGTAGCGTTATCCATGCGGAAACGTGTTCGCACCTGCAATTCCAGAACTGTTAGTTATCACTGGGTGTTGTACCACTACTTATCAATGTATGTCGAAAAAAGTAACGAAACCATAATATGGAATTTCTAAATGTTTACATGGTAAAATCGAGAACACCCTTTTATGCTCAATGTAGTCGCGGGCTTTAAAAGCAAACCTAATGAATAACAAACACCATATTTGCTACACCAGAAAAGTAAGACGACAACATAAATCATCATTCAACATGAAATTTCATGTGTGCACATCTTACATTGCAAAATTGCCGATTTGTGCAATCAATTTAACTAAAAAAGGGGCACGATTCTACAGAAATAAGCTTGCATTTATGAGAATATGGTTTGAAAAATGTAGCCGTTCGCGGATTACTGCTCTACCTAGTAATCGAAATAAGTAAGGTGTTGTTCATAACCCACGCGTTGGGAGATGAGGACATCCAGCTGAAAAGATTAGACGTGTAGTGACTAGCAGAGTAAGAGACCAGTGGAGCAGGGGTTTCCACGTAGATTAAGACACTTATCTAGCAACACATTTCCAGCCAAATTTCCTAATCTACTGATCTCCTAACGTCTCTTTAATAAAAACAATCCGTAAAATCTAATCTTCCCACCCAAATCTTCAAATCACTTGGTTTACCATTCGATACATTCCTTTTCACCATGACATGTTCCCTAAAACACTCTGCCCTTTACCGCCTCTGCGCTCTCTAGCGGGTCCCTCTCCTCTCAAGGCTTAGTCCTAGGGCATTCTCTAATCGTCTGTGCTCTAGCCATCGCGGCAGGACCATTGAGGAAAAATCAAGTAGTCCGTAAACCCTAGTATAATCTTCCCATCATATGCTCCACGACTCAAATATCAAGAGAGCATGATTCGCGTGGAGTTCCTGGTCTCAAAGAAAAACCATGACAAGATTCATCAATTGAAAAAGCTGGAAAACTTAGAAGTCCAAGTAAAAGGTATGGTACAATAACACTCGAATACGCAGCAGTTTCGCTATTGTACATTGTCAATCGCTCAATTCCCACTTAGCCCACACCAACAATGTGGTCATGAAACATGGCTGCTACCGAAATCCGTTGTGATTGAAAGAAAAGAAATACTGAAAAAAATTGTAAGTGTGAAAGCAATGATGATACACCTTTCAAAAGACCCAAAAGAGAATGAGAGATATGATATAAAACTAACTCTGCTACAATCATCCAAAAGCACGAAAGGCTCGCCGTTCACGTCCTCCATGGTGATACAAAGCCTTGAAGTCGTACTACGTAAATAGCCCTCATCTCTCTCATAAGACCACTCCTGAAAAATATTATTTTCGTCATTTAGGTATCGTATCCAACTGCGAAGGTATAATTAGTAAAAAACTATGCAGGATAACTTCTGCACGAAAATTCCTAGTGCTGAACACGAATGAAAAAATATAACTACATGTTACAAAACTACAAAGCTACTCAACAAACAATCTCAAAAACATCGAGCAACTCGGCGTTTTTCCGAGCACCGACCACACGGATATTACAAAGAATCGGGCGTGAGTTGGACACGTAACCAAATTGTCGGTGTAATTGCGTACGCTACACACGCTCAAGTTACGAACGGACAACACATAAAACTGCTCGCGGAAATGTTAGTATAAAAGATTCAATAAGTAAAAGATGGAACTTTACCTGGTTACCACCAGTTCCATGACACTGATACAGACCTGGCGCTTCACCAGCTCTACGCCCCAGAGTGTCGAGGCACATGATTCCATTCTTCAGATGAAATAATTCACCCTTATCACGCTCAGGAACTCTTAAATAGGAGGTTATTTTATATGTCAACGAACTATTCATAAACCAACATGGAGATAAAGGATAAAGCATTTGCCGTTGATCAATCCCTTTTTGGATGCGGCACGCATTCTACTTCCATTTGTACATTCGTAGTGGCGTTTGAATGCGATGTGGCCTATACAATGACTTGCGGGGGCCAGCCGATGTACAAGTCAGTGTTTTTATCCTCCCAGACAAGTCTGGTACCAATTAACCGACCCCGGAGGGATGGAAGGCTTGGTTGGCCCGGGCGACTCACGACCCAGGATTTGATCCCCGGACCGCTCGCGTGGTGAGCGTGCCACTTGTCACTACACCACTTCCGCCCTTGGACGCTTTTACGCACTCTAATATTTGCGATTGCTGTTTACAGTCCATACTACTCCAATGTTTGGTACGGTGTATCAACAGTGGGAAAGGAACATAAATGAAGCCATTGAAGAAAATGCAAGAGCAACAAGAAGGGAAATCTAGAAATGGCATATATCACAGAATGAAACGTTCCTACTCTTGCTCTTTACCTTTCACTTTTCATATAGGTAGGTACGTTCTGGTGAATCTCAAGGTGAGTGCTACGCCAAATGATA